TTCAGGCTATTAAAAATCTCTCTTGTAAACATCCACTTTTATTAGAAATTATTGAATTGTATAATGAGCTTGCAACTGGCCAATGCGACATCGTCTTTTGTTGGTTACCCAGCCACGTTGGCATTTCTGGGAACACAATGGCTGATATTGCTGCTAAGGCAGCACTCAACACATCTGTGACACCACTTCTTATTCCTTACTTTGATTACAAAGCTTGCATTGGAACTTACATCCGTGATCTGATGCAGAAGAAGTGGGACACCCAAGTAGGTATTAATAAACTCCATGAAATAAAACCTTATATTGGTTACACTCACTTGGGTTGTCAGTCCAGATTTGAAGAGGTCATTATGCGACGATGTCGCATTGGCCATACAAGGTATACTCACAACTACTTGTTGAAAAGTGAAGATCCTCCGTTTTGTATCCCTTGTGATGAGAGAGTCACAGTCAAGCATCTCCTGCTTGACTGTGTCGAATTCTCCATCATAAGGGATAAATATTTTAATGTTAAAACTGTTAAGGATCTTTTTAACACTGTTCATGTTCATTTAATTCTTGGTTTTTTAAAAGAAATTGATTTGATTACTGATTTTTTATTAATATGCTCTGTAAGTAGATGTATTTTAATGATTGGTAGTTTAGATTGTTAACTTAGATTGTTAGTGGCTGTGCCCTCAAAGGGGGTTAAAGTATCGTAAAATTATTGTCCTCCTGAGAGGGTACGTAAGTCCCAAAACATTTCAAGTAAATTTCAGTCTACCAGGTTTTTAATCGTAGTATTTTTGTCATTTTAATGTCTGGCTAAATCTCAGTATATACGCCAATGGCTGAAGGGATGGTGTAAATCCAGCTAGGGTCCATGCAGGTAGCAAAAGTAATGTAAGTCCCCATGGGCCTTAGTATGGTGATATACCTTCAGTTGTTGGCGATCTATAGCCCATTTTTACATTGTATTGTCTTCTTTAATTGGAATAATTTAGCTTTGTTCGCTAGTTTTATATTGATATCTGTGATTATCTAGTATTTTTACTGTCCTTCGTCGGCAGGTTTTTATAATATCTATATATATATCATATTTCAATGTCAAATGTTCTCGTCACGATATGGCTCAAATATTGCCGATGTGACGTTAACAAATAACTCACTCACTCACTACAAGTATGGCTCCATGTAGATTACAAGTATATAAATATGAGTCCAGATATTTCTTCTTGTCAAATCTCCTTTATATCTGCAAGAGATCTTAGGGCTTAGCAGCACCCTGCTCTTACACGTCATGCACAACGTCGTCTAAGCCCAGGCGTTACTACGCCCGGCTTAACGGATTTATGTCGAGGTGCAGTGTGCTATTCTTAGATTTCAGAACGTTTTTATACCACCGGGAAAAGGCGCGAAACAACTTCGCGGCACATTCGTTGTAGCCGTAATCATGGAAGGTCAAAGGAAATCGAGAAAACCCAACTTTACAGATGGTGAAATAATATGTCTTTTGGAGATGTACGAAGACAATAAGGATCTTCTCAGCTCCAGACTTTCAAACAACATAACTAATCGGCGTAAACAAGACGTTTGGAAGAAAATTACAAATCTGATCAAGTCGAGATCTTCTGGCATAACCCGGGATTTGGATGAAGTAAAGAAAAAGTGGAAGGATCTTTTGAGAAAAGCTGAGAAAGACATTGCTGCGCATAAAAACCCATCAACTGGAGGCGGTTCTCAACACAAAGACTCGGCTTACACGTCCTGGGTTTTAGACATTATCGGTACAGAGTCATCGTCTCTTGTCGGTGTAGAGGAAGGTGTAGAATCTGGCCATACTGTTTCGGCACCGTTTTCCCAGACTTCACGGGCATCATCAGATTACCCTGAACCATGAACTTCGTCTGTACTACAGTCATCAGCAACGACCGTCGCAACATCAGCAAGGACAGTTGGGACATCAACAACGACAGTGACTGCTCCCCAATGTCCTGACACTACCCCTCAGTCTTCTGAATATGGTATGTAGGCTAGGTCCTGGCCATGTTTGTAATTGTTTTCTTACTAGCAGATCTACATCTACCAATGTAGATTAGTTCAGTTTACGAACATTTAGCAATCTATTTAAGCATATAAATTTACGAACATTGATCAATCCAGTTTGTTCATAGTAGTGCAAATTTATATCTATCATATCTTCAAATGGTAGAATTTAGTAGATCTATTAATGTTTTTCAAGGCTACGGGTCTAGTTGAATGTTTGTTTTTACACCATAAAGTATATTCTTGGTTGTCACAAATATATAGATTATCACAACTCGACACCATATCAAAAACACTACTGTAGATAAATTTTGTCTACTCGATTCACGGGAGATAATTGGTCTAGTGGTTAGTTACGTCGCCTTTTGTCCTGGCTACCCTGGTTCGAAATCCCCACAGAAGAACAAACATTTCTATTTTATTTTCTTCTTTGGATGTTGATTTTACATTGATTTACACTTTTACAATTTTGTCGATCTATAAATGTTAAGGACATGAATGTTTTAATGAATTATTGGTTTAACATTTGCAAATAATTTTACACCACCCTCCTTTTAGAAACGAAAAGCCACTGATGATGACCTCTACCAGCAGCTGCTAGCTCAGGAGATCGAGAGGGCCAAAGCACAGACCGAGAGAGCACACGTTGAAACTGAGAGAGGAAGAGCGGAGACCATTAAGATTCAACTGGAGATCAAGCTGCTGGAAAGAAGACTTGAACAGCCCGACATTTACACTCTTCCTATTCTTCTTGAACTGAGATATGCAGACTAAGTAATATGCGCATTCTCAACTGTAATGAACTTTAAAGTGATATGTTTCAACTACATTTAAACTTTACTTTACAGTCACGTTATGTATGAAATGGGTATGTTTATTCAAGTTAATTACAGTAAAATATCTTTAATGTAATATTCAACAGTATTATTGCAGTGTACAGGAACTGTATTGAAATTATAACATTGAGCTTTCAGAATGTATATCTCTGTTGTTATTTGAAAACTTTGATGGAATGTACACTGAGTTACTGTCCAAAGAATCTCTGAATTTTCCTGTTTCTCTTTAACGTGGCATTGTGGGGTTCGGCTACGTTGTGAATGTCATTGTCACCATTGTCATCGCCCTCATAGTCGTCTTCGAGTGGCGTTCCGAACTCAATAGCCATGTTGTGTAGCACAAACACTGCACTTATAATAGCGCAACATCGTTTTGGCGGGTATCTTAACTCCGAGTGAACGCAATGGAACCGACGCTTTATCACGCCGATGCATCTCTCAATACAGTTTCTTGTTGATGCATGTGCATAGTTATAACGTTCCTCCTGTCTTGATCTGGGATTCCTGACTGGTGTCATCAGCCAGGTGCGAAGAGGGTAGGCACTGTCCCCGAGAATGATGCCGTCTATTTGTCTGTTTTCAAAATCAACAAACATATGACTCTCCCTTGGCATCTGCGAGTCATGAACAGAGCCGGGCCACTTTACAACACAGTTTAACACTCTCAGACTTGCATCACATACACCTTGAACATTTATAGAATGGTACCCTTTTCTGTTGACATAATTATATTTTTGTTCTTTTGGAGCCTGGATCCTAACATGTGTTCCGTCCACACATCCTACTACACCGGGAAACCTTGCCATATTCAGTGATACGAGTTCGTTTTGATCGGGAAAGTAGATCCACTGATTCATTCGCCGCTGAAGAAGCAATGAAACTCTGGGAATTTTTCGACTAACCGTAGATTGATGAACATTGACAGTATCCCCAACTACATTTTGAAATGATCCCGTAGCATAAAACCGTAAGGCTACGAGTACCTGTATTTCCGGAGTAAGGGTAGAATTGCGGTACGAGCCATAGTCAATATCACCTCTGATTGTATCCACTATCTTGAAAATGTCAATTCTCCTGAATCTAAATCTTCTGTACAGATCAAGGTCGTCGTATATTTCTAAAGGGTTTGACCTATCTCTCAATATACGGTTTCTTTAGAACTGTGGTCTGCGATATCGGTGTACGACTGCCGCCATTACAGGGCTACGCCTGGCTTACGCCTGCTGGGTAGGTGGCATAAATATAGAGCGCAACGCCTGGCATTACTTTAGCTACGTCTAAGATATGCATACCGTTTTAACGTTAGGCCCGGGCGCACATTTTACTTACGCCCGGACTAGAATTTACGCCCAATATGTGCGTACGGCCACAGGTGTACATTGAAAGCAGAGTGTCGTAATAGGCGACACATAACGGTAATAGCTATGTTGTCATCATGCGTATGACGTTAAGCAGTTAGTGACAATAGCGGGATACGTAAAACGTAGTCATGGGTGACATAAGGTTACGTTTGTGACGTCATCATGTTTTTGTATCTGGTGAATTTTTAGATTGACAAAGGATATGTTTTAGATTTTTAGGCTGCCTAGTGCTTCGTATAAATTTAGTCTTGGATAAACCTTTTTTCATAGTTTCACTTTTATGCAAAATTGGAACATTTGCTTTTATAATGGGCATAATTGTACAGTTATTAGGATTGTAGGTACAAACAAATGGAAGAATGTCCACCTCTGTATTTGTTTCTTTTGTCTTCATAAGTGTCTCTCTTGAAACTTTTACTGCTTTATGAACGGCATTTTCATGTACCCTACGTGGATATCCTTGTAGCTGAAGATACGTCTTCAATTCTTCTAATCTTGCACTTCTTGAAAGATCTTGTGCAGATATAAAGGAGATTTGACACGAAGAAACATCTGGACTCATATTTTATATATTTATTGCTTATACACCTGCAGAAATCACTTGTATATATATATATATATATATATATATATATATATATATATGTATATCCTGTATAACTGTTAGTTAGTATCCACCTGACGAAGGGGCAAGGAATAGCCCAGAAACGTTGTGTATACAAAAAGAAGAAGTTGACATCCATAACATCTTGTCTTATACTTGAATACCAACTTCCACATGCCTCTCAAGAACCTCATTACTACAGATGATATGATTATCGGCAAGTGAGTTTATTGTTAAGTCATGTGGGAGCATAATTTCAGAATAATCATGGTGCTAGACATTATAAATGGCTTTCAATCAGTATACCTTCGGCGTGACGATCTGACGCTTACGAACTACTTTACTCTTCAGGATAATGATCAACATTTGAAATTATCACAGGTTTAAATGATATGGAAGTGTAGTTTTCGATAACAAGCTAGAGTCTTATGTCTAGTCTGTGTAAGGTGACCAAGACGTTATCTTGTTTATATTTTGCTTAGATACACACGCTACGATCTCTGGCATGTGCATGAGGTGGATAAGAGATCCTTGTGCAGTGGGGACAAAAATCCAAACACGGATGTGTGGAAACCGAGAGATATACGAGCTTAAAACAAATGTGTTTATGTCAGCATTTTGCTTTCGTAAGTAAATTCCTTTATTAATTTATATTTACCCTTGTATGACACACACGCGTTACAACTCACTGTTTCTTTATTTACCCACATTGAGTTTAATGTGTCTGCATCCAAAGTGTTATAAAGTTGTTAAATAGACGTTTAAAATGGATTGAACTGATTTAAAAATTGTGAATGTAATAAATTATTGAAATGATACATATGAACGTGCCATTAGACCATCTATGTATCCATCCATATAGGTGCACACGTAGTACCACACATGAATACGTACACACACACATACGTATGTGAACACATAGACTTATGTGTGTGGAGTAAACGACCACTGGCCAGGTGACTGAGATGAAGTACAGGATAAAACTACATGAAACTTTGTGTTTCAGAGTGCACCGGGCGTAAGCTGTTGGACATCATTATCATCTCCGAAGTTTCACGCTCAAATGCACCTGAGAAAATGAAACAATTCCAACAATTATTGCTGACATCCATAAACATAAGCCGGGACAGTAATGCTGTTGCTTTGATGGAGTTTTCCGAAACCCCCAGAGTACTTCTTACTTTCGACTCGCCTTCTTCAGTAAGGAAAGCAGATGTCTTGTCAATGATAAACCAGCAACAATATGAAAACGGACCTTCTACCGAACTTGCAGACGCCCTTGATGTGGCAGTAACTGATGTTTTCTCTGCACAGAAGGGCGACCGGGCAGATACTGACAACATAGTGATCGTGTTCACTGATGGCTTGATTTACAAGTCAGAGAAGAAAGATGTGTCTGATGTTATTCGTGAGCTTTCCGCAAAAGCAGAAGTATTTGTTGTTGCAAGCAAGGAGGTTAATTCCGCTTTTCGGGAAATTGCTTCGGAACCGAAGGATGCCCACATCTTCCATCTTGATGGTCAAGTAACGAAAATTAAAGAGAAGACTATGGAATGTTCTATGATGTCTAGTATTAAATGGAGAAATGAAAAGATCATGAACTAGATGTGAAACAACATCTTTCATATATAATTTATTTTTATCAATTTGATACATGTTTATAGTTTTCATCATGAGACATTGAAAATGCAAAATGGTTACGTATTTAAAGTGCGATGAACGTTTTGCACCAAGTTTCAATAACGTCAATAAAACCCGTATGAAAACTCACTTGGGATGTGTACCATGGCCGTGTTAATGCCCGATTCTGGGCATCGTTCTGGCACAGGTGTTTCATTTACCAACTAACATCAAGCTTTTATTTAAACTTACATCATTTGTGACCAGTCATGACACAACAAAAATAAATGTGACAAACGTTTATTTGAATTTAAAAACAATTGCATAATATATTTGAAACAAATGCAATGATAAAGAGTTAAGAAAAGAGTGAGTTAGTGAGTTAATATTTAACGTCACATCAGCAATATATATTTGGTTATCGAGAAGAGATTGTTCTGGATCCAATGACAGTGGCACAAACCACTGCGCCACCATCCTTGGATCCATCTGTAAATAAGGATTTATATGTATTATATTTACTTTTTAATTGATTATACTCTTGTTTATATTGTAATTCATTAGTTTCTGATTTTTTAAACTTTGTCAGGGTTAGGTCAACTTGTGGCCTAACCAATTGCCAAGGAGGAGAAGAAAGAAGACGAGAAGGAGCTATATTCTCCAGCTCAATGTGGGCAGCAGTAATGAATGGCTTCATTCTGAGCCCCAGTGGCGGAACAAGAGAAGATTTATGGTTGTACAAATCCTCATAAAGAGGATTAAAGATACAGTGAAATGCAGGATTCGATTCGTTAGAATATAGTTTGGTAAGATATTGTAAAGATAATTTTATACGTCGTTGGGCAAGAGAAGGCTCGTCTATTTCGGCGTAAAGACTGTCAACAGGAGAAGTTCTAAAAGATCCAAGACAAAGTCTTAGACCTTGGTGGTGGACAGAATCAAGTAGTTTTAGATTGCTTTTGCAGGCTCCACCATATACGATGGAGCCATAATCAAGCTTCGAGTGGACCAGTGATCTATATAGGTGTAGGAGGGTAGTTTGGTCCCCTCCCCACTTTGAATTAGAAACGACTTTCAATAAATCGAGTGCCTTCAGGCATTTAGTTTTTAGGGATTTAATATGCGGAAGAAAGGTTAAATGGAACTTGACCTCTTTTACAACCTTAATGGGATTGCTATTTAAAAACAGTTCTGGGTCTGTATGTGGTTTATATTTACGGCAGAAATGTATGCAATTAGTTTTTTATTTAGAAAATTTAAAGCCGTTTTCAAGACACCGTTTATTTATTTTGTTTAAACACAACTGTAGTTGCCGTTCGATAGTATGCATATACTAAACTTAAAGGTCACATGCAACGTAAAACACAACTTTGCAGATTCTGATACCTTTCGGTATGGACTTACCGAAACAAAGCGTCAAAAATGCAAATTCAAGTTATAAAGTTGAAAAATAACGCGATGAAAAAAAACGCGCGAAATCGGAGTTCAAACGTTTCACTAAATTTCCCCAGACTTTTCTGGGGAATACGGGTTTCAACAGCTGGGCTGCGCTCATAGCACGTGCGCAGTGAAATAGGTTCGCGCAACTTGGAAGCGGGCTGTCTGGTGAATACTCGGTGAAGGCTTTGGTGTGAGCTATTTTCATAATGTTTTGTTGATATCTCACAGGCGCGAGCTTTGTGTATGTTATGACAGTAAATAAACTGTTTATATAATTTCATTTGTCTATTTCACCACACGTTCTTCTCACCGAGTCACTTTCTCAGTTCCATACTTAAAAGCAATGTCATTATTTAGAGTTGACACGATTTCTAACTGTGATATAGATATGTCGCTGTCACAGACAAAACTCAATGTCTTGTTTTATTGACACCTGTGTGTCTGCCTGCCTGTCTGCTAATGACAATATTCAATACACAACTGCGATCACTGACCACATGCAATTTGAACTTAACACCAATCAGGCTATACACCATAAACAAAATGCATTGATTTATGGCCCGAGTTCGGTCTCTGTCACATTATGTAATTACACAGACAGGCAGGTGTGATACTTGAACACATGACATGTTATGATGTCTGTTGATTGCAAAATGTTATACACAAAAAAATGAGCATGTATTTACAAAACCCAACTTTCTATATATACACACACAATCAGCCGTGAAGGCGGCATCTGCTAATGAACCAACCGTTACACTTGAGTGCACACCCACCCGCTCTGACTGGGTTCGGTATCCCGGCTGCTTCGTTTCGAGGGAGGTAAACCGAAGTACAAAATATTGCACTTTTGATTTGCGATTATACGCTTATAATTTTGTTTATTTGTTTTTTCATAATCAGCAATGCATATTATATGTCATGAAGAGGTGATAATTGTGTTTTAATTATGTTTGATTTTTTGGTTGCATGTGACCTTTAAGTACAAAAGAAACGCTACAAACAAAAAAATTATAAAATATGAATTACTAAAAAAAAAATTTTAGTTTCCAGGTACAGGAACTATATCACCCGAACACATCTTAGGTGTTTACAAACAAAAATTGGAACAGAATCCTTGCTTTGTACACTTCCAAACAAAAACATGAAATGCACGTTTTTAGTCATTAAAATACAATTTTCGTTCGACTGGGGTATAAATTCGATGCAGAAGGCAAGCACAGCATCATTGTCTCAAAACGACACCAGAAGAATGCCGAGATTGACAGCGCAGCAGCGAGAAAGAGCATTGGGAATGTTGGAGATGGGCGCCACTCACGACCACGTCGCTCAAACCTTCGGATGTCACCGCGTAACAGTGTCCAGACTCGTCCAACGATATCGACAGACTGGCCAGACTACTGATAGACCCAGAACTGGCCGACCCAGGGTTACAACACCACGCGAGGACCGGTACCTGCGCACATTACACTTGCGCAACCGTTTCCTGACGGTGACGTCATCGGCGGCGTTGGCGTTAGGTCGTCGTGTCAGTCGACACACAGTGACCAGGCGGCTTAGAGCTTTTGGCATCAGGGCTTACAGACCGTTCCGGGGACAGCGGCTGACCCAGGCACATCGACAGAGACGACTGGAGTGGGTACGGCGAGTACGACGATGGCAGCCGTACCCAGTGCTCTTTAGCGACGAGAGCAGATTTCTCTTGTACCGAAACGATGGCAGGGCACGGGTTTATCGTCGTACTGGAGAACGACAGGCCGCCTGTTGCGTTCAGGAGGTCGTTCCCTATGGAATGGGAAGTGTGATGGTGTGGGGAGGCATTTGTGGAGAACAAAAGACGCCACTGGTCATCGTCAATGGCAACCTGACGGCCATACGGTATATCGATGACATTCTTCGCCCCACAGTACTGCCATTTATGCGCAATCGCCAACAGGGCATCCTGCTTCAGCATGACAATGCAAGACCCCATGTGGCAAGAATTACACAGAACTTCCTTCAAGCAAACAACGTTAATGTTCTTCCGTGGCCAGCATGCTCCCCTGACATGTCACCAATCGAGCACTTGTGGGACGCTCTTGATCGTCGTGTTCGGCGCCGTCAACATCCCCCCAACAAACCGTCAAGAACTCGCTGACACCCTCCAAGAAGAATGGCGGAACATTCCACCTGCTGACGTCAGACGACTGACGTCATCAATGCGTAGAAGGGTCTATGCATGTCTTGAGGCGCGAGGAGGCCATACTCGCTACTAGAGTTCACCATAGTCATTGCTATAGACTTTTCTTTAGCAGAAGTTTATGTGTAAAAAAATGAAAATGAAATTGCTGAAGTGTCGTTAAAAGAATCCTCTGTAACATTGGTACCATATCGTTATTTATAATTGTTGACAATCATCAAAACACTTTTTATGTCAGTCGTCTCAATAAACTTTATTGCATGTTTTTTAGTGTTTGTGGTTTCTTCACAGGGTAATTTTGAAAAGTTGGTAGCGTTTCTTTTGTACTTGAGTTTAGAAATGTTAAAATCATCCACAAAAAGTGATCCATCTATTGAATCATTTAAAACCTTGGATAAACTGTTGATCTTAATACAAAACAATGTTACAGACAAAATACTGCCTTGTGGGACACCCTGATCCTGATTATAATGGTCGGACAGGTTTGAACCCACTCGGACTTGAAATTGCCTGTCGGTTAAAACCTGCGAGATAAAAAGAGGCAAACGACCCCTCAAACATAAGTCATGTAAATCCTTTAAAATGCCATGCTTCCAGGTGGTATCGTACGCTTTCTCGAGATCAAAGAATATCGATACTGCATGTTGTTTATTGACTAAAGCATTTTTAACAAAGGATTCTAAACGTACCAAATGATCAATGGTACTACGATTTTTCCTGAAACCACATTGAATATTTGTACTAAGGTTATTGGTTTCAAGATGCCAAGTTAATCTATTGTTTACCATTCGTTCCATTGTTTTACAGACACAACTCGTTAAGGAGATTGGTCTGTAATTAGACGGATCAGTATGATCCCGACCAGGTTTTGGAATGGGGACAACAATGGCATTACGCCGTGATGTTGGGAAATTCCCTGAAGTCCATATTGAATCAAAAATATTTAGAAGTGTTTCCAAACATGATTCAGGTAAATGCTTCAAGAGCTGATAGTGAATATTATCAGCTCCCGTTGCTGTATCATGAGCTTGCTCAAGGGCAGTGTGGAGCTCATGTAATGAAAATAGTTCATTATAGTCTTCGCCATTGTCTGAGTTAAAATTTATTCTCTTCTTCTCCTGTTGTTTCTGATATTTTTGAAATTCTGGTACATAGTTTGACGAAGAAGAATGTTTGGCAAGAATTTCACCAAGCTTATTGGCAATGTCAGCCTTATCAGTTAATAAACTGTCACCATCCTTCAGATGGGGACAGTAGATTTGGAACCTTTGCCCTTTATTCGTTGAATCATGTTCCACACCTTTGAAATAGGGGTACGTGAATTAATTTTAGAAACAAAGTTCCTCCAAGACTGACGCTTATTCTG